ACACTGTGTTCCATCCAACAACATCATAATATACATTATTCTAAGCAGTACATGGTACACACTCTAAAAAAGACCATATAGTAGCCCACAGAAAATATTTAAGTAAATGTAAAAGAATTGAAATTATCCCACACATGTTATCGGATCTTAGAGCCTTGAAACTAGAAACTAATGATAAAAGAAACTCCAAAAACTCTACAAACATATGGAAATTGAATAATACACTCTTGAGCAATCAGTGGGTCACAGAGGAAATTAAAGAAGAAATTAAACAATACCTACAAGTAAATGAAAATACAAATGCAACTTACTAGAATCTGTGGGATGCAATGAAAGCCATCCTCAGAAGAAAATTTATTGCACTGAGTTCCCACATCAGAAAAACAGAATGAATACAAATAAATAACCTGATGTTACACCTCAAACATCTAGAAAAAGAAAAGCAAGTCAAGCCCAAAGCCAAAGGAGGGAGAAAATTATAAAATCAGAGCAGAAATCAATGCAATAGAGTAAGAAAACAATACAAAGAATAAATGAATGAAAGAGTTGGTCCTTTGAAAGAATAAATAAAACTGATAAGCCCTTAGCCAATCTTATTTTAAAAAGGAAACAAGCTGAAATTCATGCAACAAGGAGTGAAAAATGTGAAATCACTACAGACTCTGTAGAAATACAGAAGATCATCAACACCTATTTCAAAAACCTCTACTCTCATAGGTTCTATAACACAGAAGAAATGCACAGATTCCAAGAAACATATGAACTACCAAAGCTGGATCAAGAAGCTATAAATATGCTTAATAACCCAATTTCTATTAATGGAACTGAAAATATAATTAAGGCGTTACCTACAAAGAAGAGCCCAGGCCCAGATGGATTCATTTTGAAATTCTACAAGAAATACGGAGACGACTTAATGCCCATACTCCTCAAACTCTTCAATGAAATCAAAAGGGATGTAATTCTTCCTAAGTAGTTCCTGGAAGCAAATATTACTCTAGTACCAAAACCTGAGAAAGACCCAACTAAAACAGAGAACTACAGGTCAATCTCCCTAATGAATGTACATGCAAAAATTCTCAATAAAATATTGGCAAACAGGATGCAGCAAATCGTCAAGAAGAATAAACACCACAACCAATTGATCCAAGGCACGCAGGGATTGTTCAATGTACACAAATCAATAATTGTAATCCACCATATCAATAGATCCAAACCTAAGAATCACATGATGATTTATATAGATGCAAAAAGTGCTTTTGATAAAGTCCAACCCTCATTCATGATAAGAACCTTACAGAAAATTGGAATAGATGGTTTTTACTTCAATATGATAAAGGACATCTATGAAAAACCAACAGTCAACATCATACTACATGGCCAAAAACTGAAAGCCTTTCTGAAAATCAGGCACACAAGACAAGGATGACCCTTATAACTGCTCCTATTCAACTTAGTAATGGAAATAGTAGCCACAACAATTAGATAATAGAAAGAAATAAAAGGAGTAAGATAGGAAAAGAGGAAGTTAAATTATCATTATTTGCAGACGATATGATACTCTATACAGAAGACCCCCAAAACTCCATTGAAAGACTCCTAGATATAATAAATTGAGCAATGTAGCTATATACAAAGTCAATACTCAAAAATCAATAGCATTCCTATACACTAACAACAAAATCACTTAGAGAGAAATAAGAGAAGCCACGTCCTTCACACTAGCATCCAAAAAATGAAATACTTTGGAATTAATATCACAAAAGAAGTAAAACATCTATACAGGGAAAATTATAATATGCTGAAAAAAGAAATCAAAAAGGATCTAAGAAAATGGAAAGACATCTCTTTTTCATAGATAGGAGAATAAATATTGTGAAAGTCACCATTCTCCCAAAACTGTTATACAGATTCAGTGTAATCCCAATGAAAATACCATGAAAAAACCTCATAGATCTAAAGAAATCACTCCTAAAATTCATCTGGAACCAGAAGTGACCTAGAATAGCAAAAGCAATTCTAAACAGGAAAGGCAATTCTAAACAGCCAAGGCAAGGCAGGGGGCATCAAAATCCCTCACTTGAAGTTATAGTATAAAGCTACTGTAATAAAATCAACATGGTGCTAGAATAAAAACAGATCTGAAGATTAATGGAATAGATTAGAAAATACAACCACAGCTACCAACACACTCAACCACCTTACTTTAGATAAAGGGGCCAAATATGTTCACTGAAAGAACATCAGTCGCTTTAATACATGGTGCTGGAAAAAATTGGCTCTCCATGTGGCAAAAACTAAAACTAGAACCGTGCATATCACCACTTCCTAAACTAAAATCTAAATGGATCAGAGATCTGAATACTAAAACAGAAACACTAAATCTGTTGGAAGACAAATTGGTTAAAAATCTCCAAGACATAGGGGTAGGTAGAGAATTCATGAACAGGAATCAAACCTCACAGGAAATATTCCTAGAATGAATAATAATGAATATCATGTCTGATTTTAAAAGTTCCTGCATGTCAAAAGAAATCTCCAGCATAGTGAAAAGAAAACCCACAAACTTGGGGTTCTTAGTGAACTGTCCCTCAGGCAAAGGACTTCTGTCTAAAACATTTAAAGAATTTTTAAAAATCAGACGCCCAAAATTCAAACATCCAATCCAAAAATGGGCATCCAAGATGATTACACAGTTCTCAGATGAAGAAATAAAAATGGGAAATAAACACATGAAAAAATGTTTATCATCATTAGTCATTAAAGAAATGCAAATTAAAAACACACTGAGATTCCATCTCACTCCAGAAAGAATGGTCACGATCAAGAAAACTACCAACAACAAATGCTGGAGAGGCTGTGGGGAAAAAGGCACTCATCTGCACTGTTGATGGGAGTATAGATTGGGGCAACCACTGAGGAGGTCAGTCTGGAGATTTCTCAAAAGGCTGGAATTTTAACTCCCATTTGACCCAGCTGTACCACTTCTAAGCATATTCCCAGAACTAAAACATCATAACACAGTGATATGTGTGTACCCATGTGTATAGCAGCACAGTTTGTAATAGCCAGATCTTGGAAATAACCTAAGTGTCTGTCAACTAAGGAATGGATAAAAAAGATGTGGTATTTTTATACAATGGAATAGTACTCAGCTATAAAGAATGATCACATTGAGATATTTATAAATAAATGGATGCAACTTGAGACCATACTCATAAGTGAAATAAATCAAACTCACATCTATAAATCCTGTGTAGTCTCCCTAGAGTAAGAAATGGTAAGTGTATATAAGATTTTATAGTAGTCATGATTCCCCATTATATGGCTTTGAAGCCTTGTAATGTTTTCATTCATTAGTTGGTATGGTTTTATTCTGTTTTGTTAGATTTTATTATGTATGATGGGATGAACAGTTATTTTGAAGAAAACAAGACATTATGGTAGCCATTGCTGATGTAATATCTTGTTTTGAAGCCCTACGATGCTTTTGTTCTTCGGTTTCCATTGGTTCTATCATGTTGTGTTCTATTGCATTTTGATATGTGTGATAGTATAAACAAATTTTTATGGAAAATGAGATAATACAGTAGCCACTGTTCATTTTCTGTTATTTGGTTCTGAATGCCTTATAATACTTTCCTTCTCGTCAATAGTTTTAGACTATTTGGTTGTGCTTGATACTATTATATGTGAAAGTATGATTAACTATTTCAAAGTAAGAGACATTATGGTTGCTACTGCTAATATCCAGTTGTCTGCTACTGATCTGCTGTGTTGCTTACATTGTTCTGTTCTGATGTTCTTTGTACTGTACTGTTTTCTCTTAATCTCTTTAAAGTAATATAAAATAAATTTTAAGAAAACAATGAAGAGACAACCTTTAAAATGCAAGCCAAACATGCTCAGCCACTCCACAGGCAGAGGACAAGCATCAAGAGTACAGACCTACCCAAGAAAACTCACTCAATGAACTGGCAACTGAAATGAAATGATACTTCTTATAAGTACAAATGGCCAATAAAAGCATGGAACTCATCATTGCTTCTGAAAATCAGATAAATACAAATTAATACTAAACCCAGATAGCATTTTATCTTAGAAAGAATGGTTACCAAAAAAACCCTAATTATAAATGGTAATGAAAAAGGTGGAGAGATTTTTCTACACTGATAAAGGTAATGTAAACCGTTATGAACACTATGGTAATCGGAGTGGTGATTCCTAAAAAACTAAAAATACAAATCCACCTGAGCTATGACCCTTGTAGAAATCTTCCAAAATAATTAAAATCATGCTACACGAATACATAGGTACCTATGTTTACAGCAGCACAATTTGAACAGCCACATCTGTAAAATAGTGTATACATACATCAGCAGAAGAATGTATAAGGAAAATAGTATCCATACACAATGGAACACTGCACTGTGATAAAGACAGCTAACCTTGAGGAACTCATAGATAAATGAATGCAACTTGAGGATATAAAGTTCTTTGAAATAAGTCTGAAACACAAGTTCAAATATTTTCTGGTTTCTCTTATATGAGCATACTTCTCCAAATTGCATACTTTGCTTTTCCAAATATTTTATATGCCAATTTATTTCATTTATGTTACTAGCTCATTTTCAATCACTGAAAAGAAACATTTACACTTTTTCCTTTTTATATGAAGCATTTAGGCTTATGTTTTGTACTCTGAGGAAGTTCCATGAACATAGCAATACACAGTGTTTTTCCTTATTGTTTTACTACAAAAGTTATTCTTCTCATTAAAAAGCAGACATCAGTCAAAATTACTCAATAATAGCGCATGACTTGTACTGCACAGTATTCCTTATGTTGCCCAATCCAAATAATTTTTCTATCTGATGGTTTGTGTTGATCTTTTTCATTATACACCAGTCACTAAGGTAGTCTTTCAGCTACTGACTTATTTGACTTATTACCACTCCACAACACTGCTGAACTCTTGTTTAAAAAAAGAACAACCATACCTTTCCGGCTCATTCACCACATTCTTTGTTTCTGTCTTTTTTAACAATGCTGCTGCTTCCATTCTGTTTTCCCTTAGAGCAAGCATAAGTGGTGTGAGGCCTTCCTGTGGAGAAGCAGAAACAATTTAAAACCCACACAACTGCCTGCTTCTCAGCTGAACTGAACAGCTTGTGAAGGACCCTGACTGTTAACCTGATATAGATAACAACACACAGCAGTCTCTTCCTTCTCACTCCCAGTGCTTCCACACGTGCTGCCCTGCCATACCCTCTGCAGTGCATGCTCTCTGCCCACAGTGGCTACAGAAACCCCAGGGTCACAACTCGCTCCAGTCACTGGTTCCAAGGGTCTTTCCATCACAGCCTTTATCATGGTACTCAGAGTTATGTAACATCTCTCGCTTCAATCAAATGCACCTTGAGGGCAGGGGCTGTATCTTTTTTCTCAGTAACTTCAACCATAATGCACAGTCAAAAATGATTGAAGGATTTGGATTAAATTAATGAGTTAAATTATCATCCCTAGGCAGAAATTCTCAGCCTATCTTCCAAAGAATCATTTTCCATGACTTCTATGTCTCAACAGATTTGATAATCATCTGTTTGAGAAATTATAAAACTGTATTATTTCTTCAGTATTAAAATCTCTTTACCTTTGCTTTACTCGTATTCAACACTACTTGTCTTCTGCCAAATATCAACACCTGAGGAATTAACAGTTTCAGGGAATTAACAGGGACTTAACAGTTTGGGTACCATGCAAAGCAGTTAGGCAGGAAACTTGCTGAATTCTCCACCTGGTGACAGGATCCAACTATAATTCTTAACCATTCCAGCTTTCAAGGAGTACCCCCATTACATGGTCACTCAATTGTGAGATCAGCCCCAAGTGAACTTGGATCACTTCTTATTAAACCAGTTACGGCTTTCTGTCCTATTATTAGATGAAAATATTATCTCAGCTGTTAGAAAGATGAGTACAAAACTTCACTTCTCATATATAACAGCAATCCTGGGATCCCCATGCATAACTATTGCTTTTAATAAGTTTTATTCTGGTTCCATTTCAATTACCAATGTTATACAAATCAAATGTAAAATATGGTTCATCAATAAAGATTCTAATACTGCTCAATTTGGATTTTAACATAATAAATAAATTATAACACTGCTCAGGATGGATTTTCTCATAATGAATAAATTCTAATACTGCATAATATGAAAATTTTCATACCACTAAATATGAAAATTGTATCACAATGAAACTCAGTAAGACACATATTTTTAAGGGGCAAGACTGAAATGAAAGATACAAAATTCGTGGTAACAAGCATAAATTATTCAGTTGTGATTATAATTATTAATGTCTACAGGCATTCTGATAGGAACATGATTATTTATAGCATATGGGAACAATTTTAAACAATTTCTAAATTCCATTCCATTTCTAAATATTTATTCTTAAATATAGATTACATTTTTTTTTGTCTTTTTCCTTTTTTATCAGTACCAGGGATCAACCTCATGAGCACTCACTTGCAAGGCAGGCGCTTATGCCGCTGAGATAAAACCCCAGCACTTAGATTACATTCTTATAAATGAATAAAAGATATTCTGAAATTCCAGAATCTTTATTAAAATATACCATCTTTTAAGAGCTGCAAACTCTCACAGAGGCACAATCAGTAGTGTGCACAGGGAAACACAGAGGTGGGTCTGTAAAAGGGCACTTGCATGGTCACACAGGCTCTGAAGACAGGACAGTCCCTTCTCTCTGAGCATCTTCAACTTCAAATTTGGAGCAGGGTTCTGAAACCTCCTTGTGAGTTCAATTGATGAAGGAAAACTGCATAGAGCTAAGAGCCACGTTTAAGTCACAGAGTTTTGCTTTTACCTATGGTATGCATGGGCTGCCAAATGGTTGTGTACAAAGCAAGCATTTCTGTGTAAAATTCTTGCATTAACATCATGTTTTACCAAAAAAGTGAGGTCCTACCATGAAATAAAAAGCATTATAACTATTTCAATAATTTTTCAACACTTATACTTATCCTCCATTTGTATGCAGGTCTCCCTGCTGTTAAACAGTTTCAAAGGAGCGCTGAAAAGAAATTACCACAACAATTCCCAGCTGCATAGGGTGGTACAACCCCATAAGCTTATCACTCTGTGAGGCTAGGAAGAGGGATCCAAGTTCATGTCTGATTTCTGCCTCTGAAACTTAGTGAAACACTGTCTCAAATTTAACAGGGGGTGAGCAGTGATGAATGGTGGGGATGCAGCTCAGTGAGAAGGTCCTAGGTGCAATCCTCCATTACCCCCCCAACACACACACACACTAAGAAATAAGCAATACGAATTTAAAAAGCATTCCCATCTCTGTTCTTACAATTTCATTGATTTCTGCCAGGGCTTTCTTAACTGAATACAGTGACATAGTCTGTCACATGCCTCAATTAAATACAGATTCAAGGTGGACATTGTTCAAATTCCTGAAAATCTACATTTGTCAGCTTTGTGCCACTAGTGATTATAATGAGAGCCAGTAATGATAACAAAGAGATGTGGAATTCATCAAGATTAAGCCTTAACCATTAGTGAATTAATACAGAGCTTACCAGTGGCACTGAATGACCACAGGGGGGAAGGAAAGTGGTGGATTCTGCACAACAATAGGTTACACTGATGATACTCCTTTTCACTTCCCATTGACAGTTGTAGAGAAAGACAAAAGGAACTTGGCCTGATTTTGTTGGAAAGGAGAGATTAGAAGGAAGTGGTATTTAATCCAACTCATCTAGAGATTTCTTCAGTTTCTGAGAATTAGGAATTCACCATTAAACATGCCTGTCCATTAAATGCTTCTGAGCTACGTCAGAATCTTGAGGAAATATTTTGAAATATCCATGTCAGGGCTTAAGACATTTACTGAACCCAAATCTCCAGGGCAGAGCCTCAACTGTTTCAAACCTTTCTCCTGACCACAGAAACGCACAAGTCTAGATGAGGACTAGAGAACCTAGAAGATGACATCAGTCTCATCTCTCATCTACACAGCCACTACTTTTTACTAGTTGAGAATTTAGACAAAAGGAGGGAAGGTGAGAGACAGGTACTCCATGGAAGCTCCATTTAATCCTCTTGGCTCAGGGCAGAACAGGGACTAGTACATTCAAAATACAACTGATCTCATCATACAAGCTCCTTAACTCCCAGCTCCCAGCAAGACATCATATGTTTGAAAGGACAATTCAGATTCTTATCTTAGTTGCGGTTTCTGACTGAAAAGGAGAGGATCTTTCTTAATTATTCTTTCATTTCCCTTGTTTCTTAATTAATTACCATTCATGCATGCCAAACTGGATTGCTGGAGTTCTCCTAAAATTTCAGGTTTACAATATATGATTCTCAATAAATGGGCGCAGCTTGAGACCATACTCATAAGTGAAATAAATCTATCTCGCATGTGTGAATACCGAATAGTTTCCCTAATGTAAGTAACGATTCAAATATATAAAAGTATGTGGTAATCATGATTTCCCCATTATGTGGCCTTGAAGCCTTATAAAGTTTTCACTTATTAACTTGGAAAGGCTTTATTCTGGGCTTCTTGATATGGAAATATTTGAAGCTATAGTATATGAAGTTATATTCAAATATTTCAAGGAAAAAGACAGACACTATGTTAACTGCAAGTAAGTCGGGTTATTTGGTGGTGAAGCACTAGGTTGCTGAAATTGTCATGCTTTGACCTGTATTGTTATGTTGTTATGTCCTCTTTTATCTCAATCTCTCCCTTATTCATTAAAAAGATTATTTAGTTATTTTTTATGGTTTTTTTAATTAAGGGGAAAATTTTTAAAAATTAGCAGGATATATTATAGTAACTTTTTTTGATTTCCTGTTAACTTGTTTTGAAGCCCTGTAATACTCCCACGATCTTGTTTTAACTGATTAGACTCTGTTCCGTTCTGTATGATAGTATCAAGAGTATAGGCAACTACTTTGAAGGCAATAAGATTCACTAAGATGCCCATTCTGGTTTGACTATTATCTCCTTTGGAAGTGCTGTAATGTTTACAATGTTTAGGTTTTATTGGTCTTGTTCTCTACTGTTTTGTTCAACTTTATAATACCTAATGAGATAGACAATTCTTTTTAAGGAAGCAAGAGGCATTATGGTAACCATTGTTGATAACCTTGTACTCTGTTATTACATCATGTACTGTGTCTATCCTTGGTTTTGACTGACAGCTTTGTTTTCCCATATTTGACTTTATTCTCTTCCCAAAAAAACAGTAATAAGAACTAAGGAGTAATAAAACCCAAAATATATAATTTTGTTGTAAAAAAGAGAGGGAAAAAAAGTGCTCTACAGGATATAACTGCAAGTGTGTTTAGGGGTGTTAAATAGCTGACCATATTAATGTTTTTGGTTGGATCATTGAACACAACTGTTTGCAGTCTCTCTGTTTGAATGTTCACTTTGTATGCTTTGATACTCTGACTTGAGCAGATATCTCTAGGATGATAATGTGTAATCTATTAACTGGTGATTTCTTAGTGTTTTTTTTTTTTGTAGTTCTTTATTACTTGTACTCTTAAACTGCTTTGTTTTGTTTTGGTTTTTCTCTTTTTCCTTTTAAATAAAATTTAAAAAAAACAATTATATGGTTTTCTTTTCTACTAAGAATTTTTAAGAGGATGGAAATGTAGCTCAGCATCACACAGTGCCTGGCTGGTAGGTGCAAGATTCAGAGTTTGACTGCCACTATTGAAAAAAGCATGTAAAAAGAAAAATAAAAAAAAAAAAAACAGAATAAAGAGTTTTTATTCTCAAGCTAGGTACAGCCAGTAATCACTGCACTATGGGAATATGAGGCAGGCACATCGCATGTTCAATCTCAAATAAGACAACTTCATATCCTACCAAAAATAAAACATAGCACAGTTGAACAAGAGACACAGCTCTGTGTGAAGGGTCTGTGTTCAATTTCCAGTAATAAGTAGAAAAAAACAAATTTTATTCCTAAAATTGAAGAGCATCTTATCTATGCACATGAACCAGAAACTATATTCCTTCAGTAGCAACTAATCAACAACCAAACACTATTGGCTTGCATTATTTCTAATCATTTTTCCTTGTCATTTTTCCCATTTAAGTCAAGTCACCAAAAATGGATCATTTTTATGAACTGTCAACAGCAACAACATTTCCACTTATTCTAAAATACTGTTGTTCTACAACAGAAAAAAAAACCACCTGGTAGGACAAGCAGAAATCAAAGAACTGGAACACAACATGGCAAAGTCAAGCCAGTACATACCACTGATATGCATAAATGTAAACGGTCTCAATTCACATATCAAAAGAAATAGGTTGAAAGAATGGATCAAGAAACATGATCCCACAGTATGCTGTATACAAGAAACACATCTGACCACACTGAAATTAGAAATTAATGGCAGAATAATTGTGAAACCTGTATAATTACATGGAAATTAAATCACAACCCTTTGAAGAACCAGTGGGCCACAGATAAAGAAGAAATAAAGCAATAGCTACAAATCAATGAAATGCAGACACAACATACTGTAATCTATGGGACGCAATGAAAGCAGACTTAAGAAGGAAATATATATCAATAAATTGTTATATCAAAAAAAAAGAACGACAACAAATAAACAACCTAATGCTTCATCACAAGCTTCTAGAAAAAGAAGAGTAAGTTAAACCCAAAGCTCATACAAGAGAGGAAACTGTAAAGATTAGAGCAGAAATCAATGCAATGGAAATTTAAAAAACAGTACAAAGAATTAATGGAACAAAAAACTGGTTTTTTGAGAGACTAAACAAAATTGACAAGCTTCTAGCTAACCTTATTAAGAAAAAGCCTAAATTCAGGCAATAAAGACCAAAAAGGGGGAAATTACTACAGATCCCATGCAAATTCAAAACATCATGAATACCTACTTTGAAAATCTCTACTCACATAGCGTGGGAAATACAGAGGAAATGGACAGATTTCCAGAACCATATGAACTATCAAAGCTCAACCAAGAAGATACAGCAAATTTAAATAATCCGGTATCAACTATTGCAATTAAAATTATAATTAAAAACTTACCAACAAAGAAAAGCCCACATCCTGCGGATTCATGGCTAAATTCTACAAAAAATTTAGAGAACTTCTCCTTAAACTGCTTAAACACTTCAATGAAAATGAAAAGGAAGCAATCCTCCCTAAATCATTCCTGGAGGCAAGTATAACTCTCATACCAAAACCAGAGAAAGACCCAACCAAAAAGGAGAACTATAGGCCAATCTCACTAATCAACAGTCATGCAAAGATTCCCAATAAAATACTGGCAAGAATAGAATGCAGCAAAGAATCAAGAGATTATACATAATGACCAAGTGGGGTTCACTCCAGGAAGGCAGGAATACTTTAACATATGCAAATCAATAAATGTAATACAATCCATCAACAGAGCCAAAAACAAAAACCGCATGGTCGTCTTCACAGATGCACAAAAAGCTTTTGATAAAGCCCAACACATGTTCATGATAAAAACCTTTCAGATACTCAGAACACGTGGTGTCTACCTCAATCTTATGAAGCCAATCTATGACAAATCAATAGCCAACATTATACTAAATGGACAAAAGCTGAAAGCTTTTACTTTAAAATCAGAAACAAGACAAGGATGTCCACTTTCACCATTCCTATTCAAATACGTTCTGGAAACACCAGCCAGGGTAATCACACAAGAGAGAGAAATAAAATGAATAAATATAGGAAAGGAAGAAGTTAAATTATCACTATTTACAAGTGACATGATACTCTATGTAGAAGACCCAAAAATTTCCATTAGAAGACTGTTAGAAATAATTAAAAAATTGAGTAGTGTAACTGGATCCAAAGTCAAAACTCAAAAACAAATAGCATTCCTGTACTCAACCAAAAAAAACTCACCGAGAGAGAATTTATGGAAATATCACCTTTCACAATAGCATCTAAAATAATGAAATACTTAGGAACCAAGCTAACTAAGAATGTAAAAGACCTATTTGCTGAAAATTATGCTACACTACAGAGGGAGATTGAAGAGGATATTACAAAATGGAAGAGTATTCCTTGTTCTTGGCTAGGAAGACTCAATATTGTGAAAATGGCCATACTCCCAAAACTGTTCTACAGATTTCATGCAATTGCAATCAGAATACCATTAACGTGCCTCACAGAGCTAGAGAAGACACTCCTGAAATTCATTTGGAAACAAAAGAAACCTAGAATAGCAAAGGCAATTCTGAGAAACCAAGGTAAGGGAGGAAGCATCTCAATTCCTGACCTGAAACTCTATTACAAAGGCACAATGATAAAATGAGCAGGGTATTGGCAAAGAAATACACCTGGGGAACAATGGAACAGATTAGAAGATGCAAGCACAACTACAAAAACAATCAACCACCTGATATTTGACAATGGGGCTAACCATGTTCACTCTTTAATAAATGGGGCTGGAAAAACTGGCTCTCTGCATGCTGAAGACTGAACATAGACCCATGCCTATCACACCAAGCACAAAACTATAAGTCTAAATGAACCAAAGACCTAAACATTAATACAGAAACCTTAAATCTACTGGAAGACCAGGTAGGCAGAAGACTTGGAGACAGAGGTAGGCAGAGATTTCATGAACAAAATGTAAACTGCATGGGAAACACGTCAAAGAATCAACACCTGGGATCTCATATTATTCAAAAGTTTCTGCACTTCAAGAGAAATCACTAACAGAGTGAAAAGAAAACCCACAGAATGGGAAACAATTTTAGCCAACAACTCCTCAGACAAAGGACTTATATCCAGAACGTGTAAAGTATTGAAAAACATCAAGCCCAAATTCAGAGACCCTCTCCAAAAATGAACATCTGAGATGAACACACATTTCTCAGATGAAGATATACAAATGGCAAATAATTACAATGATGGTGAAAGAAATGTTCACCATCATTGGTCATTCGAGAAATGCAAATTTAAACATCATCAAGATTCTCACTCCGAAAAGAATAGCTGCAATCAAGAAATCAACTGATAACAAATGCTGGCGAGGCTGTCGGGGGTGGGGGGGAACAATGCTCCACGATTGCTGGCAGGGTAGACTGACACAGGCACTATGGAAATCAGTATGGAAAATTTGCAGAAGACTAGGATTGGAAGTTCCATTCGGTCCAGTGAGTTCCCTCATTGGTATTTTCCTAGAAAAATGGAAAATGTCATATACCTGTGAGATATGTGCAGCCATGTTCATAGCAGCACAATTTGTAATAGCTAAAACTTGAAAAAAACCAAGATGCCCATGAACTGCAGAGTGGATGAAAAAGATGTGATATTTTTATACAATAGAATATTACTCAGCTATAAAAAGGTTGCTGTTGAGGCTTTCATAGACAAATGGAGACAATTTGAGGCTCTTCTCACTAATGAAATAAATAATCATATTTATAAATATCACAGTGTGTCTCTAGTGTGAAATGTAATAAGAAATGTAGGAGTAGTCAAACACAAAATGTGTAATTGCTGTTGTGAAAAAGAGAGGACAAAAAACTGATCTAAAGGCTACAACTGCACGTATGTGTGACAGTAGATTTGATAACCCTATTAGTAAATTTTTCTTGGAGAGCTGAAAAGAACAGTTTGCAGTATTGCCGTTTGACCAGCCACTTTGTGTGCTTTACTTTTGTAACTTGAACTATATCTAAAAGAACAGTATGTGATTTATCAACTAGTGATTTCTTACTGTTAATTATTTTTGAAATTATGTGCTATTTCTACCATTTTCCTGTTGTTTCTTTTAAATAGAAAAACACTATTGCTCTGCTTAAGTTTTAAAATAAAACCAAATTCTGAGGTTAATTTTGCTATCTTGTGCTGTTTTACACTACTGCAAAAAAGAAAGAAAGAAACCTTTTGAAACAAAAATTTTACATTTTAAAATTCAGTGTGTTCACAAATACTGTAAGTGCATAAAAGAAACTCACATCCTCTAGCATTTCATTAAAACTATCAACATTGAAAGTGAAAACATTAACTATTAAGTTATTTCAAACAGTGTATTCATGAAACACTTGAGTTTCTACATGTGGAAAACTGACCAACCAATATGTCACTGTGAACAGGAAAGTATTTCAGAAACTTTGGAAAGAAAATTCAGTGCTCTATACCTTGTTTTTTGCCTCAGCATCGGCACCATGCGAAAGCAGTTTTGCTGTTAGTGAAGACTTTGGATGAAATACCGAAAGATGCAGAGCAGTGTCGCCCTTGGCATTGGCAATATTTAGATTTGCACCATGCTCCAAGAGAATACTAGCACAGCCTTCCTCGTAGCATTTTACAGCCTGTGGGTATTGTAATAAAGGAGACACCATCAGCTCAAGAAACTCCAAACACACTTTCCACATGCCTGGCCAAGGAGTTATATTCAAATTACACTGACTGACTTTGATTTTCAGCATTTAAATACAATCCCTCCCATGCTGAAATTGTTGGCTGCTATTTACCTTAATCAGAGCGGTGTCATAGTCACTGTCACAGGCATTAATATCACACTTGCTCTTTACCAAGAGAGTCACCACTTCTGGATGGCCATAGGCACTGGCATAATGCAGAGCAGTCCTGGGACAGTCAAGAAGATTATTAGGAAATTACAGCGCTCCATTTCAAAATGCAAAATTATTTATGGAATTATTATGAAAATTAAATATCTTTAACAAGAAGTATTTAATTGTCTTTGAAAACATAGAATGCTTCACAGCTCTTACTGCTCACCTGTGAATGGAAGTGCAAGTGGGTAACGCTTAGTGTGGGGGATGGAAGCTGCTGTCTTGCACATAACTAAACAAGGTCCCTGCACTGCGCTACCTCCCAGCCTAGTGCAACCCACTGGAATTAGTAAGAACAGGCCTCAGATTCAGCTCAATTGGAATTTAATTTCTACCCTAAGTTCTTACTTTCTAGCCATCCTTTGGCCCTTCTGTGCCTCGGGATTCTCACCTACTAAATGAGAACTGAAGTTCTCAGTTCTCTCAGAAGACACCACTGAGATGGTTAAATAAGAATCCACACAAAATATTTAGAACAACTTGTAGAACAAATAACAGCTCAATAATTGTCAGATACTATAATGTCTACTATTACTACTTAACAAAGACAATATTTCAATTAAGTAAAATAAAATAATTAAGATGGACATTCTTTGTGGGGTTAGGATTATTTCAATAAGCCTCCAGACACTTTTTCTCATATTTTAACACCTCTGTCATTGGAAAGGCACACAAAGCTCAGAAGACAAAAGCTCTTGTGTAACTATACCTGGTAGTGTGGAAGGTCCCCTCCTGACCTTTGGAGTATGGGGGCTTTTTACTGCGTAGGATCAAACACTGTGTATGCTACTGATGTGACTCTGTAACAAAAACCAGCCTGTAAAATGTTAAGGTATACCGACCAGACTGGAAAATCCTTGCATGTGCCCATATAAGGGTGATGAAAAGACAAAAATTGAATAAAAAGGGGCTAACATGCGATACTAGGCATGAATCTGCTGAGTTAGTCTGAGCAGCAATGAAGCTGCTTCCTGGGCAAAAGGCTTCAGTATCCTGCAGTGGCTTTAAAAAGTTTTCTTCATATGGCATCATCACATGATTCATAGTAAAATCTCTAAGTACAGACAATTTCTTTATATCTTTATTTTTGAAGAAGCAAAAAGTTGTCAGAAATACCAATACACACACAGAAAAAATGAAAACTATCTGTGCTTAACTAATGTTTGTGTTTTTCCCAAGAATTATTTTATTAATAGACAACTTTCACTAGAATTTTATATTTATTTATTGTAGAAATCAAGGATGAGAGAAAGGAAAGAAGGGCACACAGAACCATTATTGCCATTACTAATCATGAGATAGTACAAAATGAAAGGCACAAAAATGTAAAAATACAGAATATTCAACATTGTTTCTGGTGCCAATGAAACTCTGTTAGAGTGAAAAAATTAATGAGAAACTCTTAAATATTATGAGTAGAATGACTTTCTAGATAATAAAAAAGAACAGAAAATTTCACCTCTCGTTCAAATGCCTAAAAATAACAAATTTTGCCACAACTTGTATACATTTTCTGACTAACACAAGACTGCAGCCTATTTGTGTGTAGGCAAAAGTAAACTGACTCTCGTCTCAGTGGATATATCAAAGTGCATCTTTCCCTGTTAAAAATACATTCATGTGATGCCAATTTCAGTGATTATATATCACTCCATCCTGCAATGCACTGCAACTGATACAATCTTTCTGTGGATCCATCACTATGTTAAGCAACAATGAAGAAAAGCACATTTAACGTGTCTGTATGTTCTGAAGGTATTCTAGAAAGGAACTGATGAGTGGACATACGCTTTCCTAAACTGTGGTACAGTACTTGAATCAAATTTCCTATTTGAAAAGGTCATAAGCCATCTCCAATTTTAAGCAGCAGGATAAACTGCTCTTCATCCTCACAAACTCTGTAGCTGAAAAATATTTCACTCCATTGTAAAATTAAATTCTCCTTATCAGGAACACTAAACATTTCTTTTTATGTTTACAGGTCATTTGTCAAACCAACCACCTAATTTAGAGTTTGATATAGCTCAGTGGTACAGTAGGATTTGACGCTCACAGTGTGTGCTATCTACCTTTAAAGTAAATTAGTATTCAATTTTTTGATGATTTTCAAACAATCACCTTGAAAGATAAAGATACAGTTTTCATCTGATGTATCTATGATGTATATTTCATCTGATATATGGTTTATGATATATCTGTCTCTATTTTATTTTATTTTAGTTTAGTTTTTGGTACTAGAAATCTGACTCAGGACCTCACACTTTTCAGACAGGCACAGTGCCACTGACCTATATCCCAGGTCATTGTTGTAAATGTCTTACAAATATGTTGTATTTCATTTGGTCAATGTTTTCCTAATATAAAGGAACATTTAATTTTTCTTTTGAGAGTTAATCTTCATAATGCAGGTCAGGAAGGGGATGGCTGAGTGGTAGTGTGTTTCACATGCACCAGGACCTAGCAGCAACCCCCAACACAAAAAAAAAATGCTCATTGTGACGGTCACTTCTAGGAATATGCAAATGTGTTTGTTTTTGCTAATTTTCTCATTTTGTATGATCTAAAATTTTTATTTCTATGCCACTGGAAACTTTTGTGACATAAAATCTACATTTTTTGAAATGGTTTACATTTCATTCATGTATCATTCCAGTTTTTCAACTAAAATATGTGAGGATCAATTTCTAAATTCTGACAGATATTTGAATGTTTCCAGATTTTCTATTAAGTTACATTCATTTGTCTATCTTTTGGGCTGTTAGAAAATAATTAATTTGTGAAAATAACTTACCTTGATATCTACGAAGGTGGGTCTTCCACTATATTTTCTTAGTGACCCCAATGGCAAAACAACAAAGGGAAACTCAAGTGTTGCACATTTTTTTCATTGCATAAGCAGATACACAAAAAGCTCACATTTGGGGACTAATGGAACTTTCTAGCCAAGATGTTAGCCAAGGCAGAACATAGAGCTGCCTTCCCAATTCAGTTTCCTTATAAAGGTCCTTAGTACAGAACATACATGCACAGATGGACACTGATAGTAAATGGACACTAGGTTTTTAGAAGCTTAAGTTTCAGCCCTAAATTTGTAGATTACAAGAAACATGCCACAGTTCCCTTTTTTATAATATGTACAATTCTCTTAATGTGATACTAAGAACAAAACACTACACACACATCATACCAATGTTAAATAGCTTTTCAGTAGTCAATGAAGTGGCCTACAACAGGAAGTACAAGTCCATTATAAACCAGTGGGAGGTTTGTTTTTATGTTGCAGCTTATGAGCACTGCCTGAGGATTGACCCTCTGGCCAGCTTTGCTTCCCTGGGTGTTGGGAATCCCCCTGCACCCTCCTCACCCACTCCTCCCTCCTGAGCCTGAGACCCTCGCTCTCCTGCATCATCCCAGCCCCACTCGCCGCCCCTGGTCATGCAGCCCCATTACCTGCGTTCCCTGTCTCTGTCATGGACATGGCCTGCTGTGATGAGAAACTGCACCCGGTCCTTGTTGCCCTTACGGGCAGCCTTGTGAATCTTGGGCATTGGCTCACCAAAGATGCTTTGCAATGCAACCTTGCAGTTTTTCAGAAGGCCCACAGGCCTTGATGGTCCCGGGTCCCCACTGGACAAGTTCTTCTGGGCACAATCTATAGAGAGTGCAAGCACCTCAGGGACCCTGGACCTCTCACTGCCTTTCAGTGAAAGCCAAGCAACCCCTCATTCAACCCCTAGGCTCTAATGGCCTCTGCACATGCACATCTCCACAGCTCTGGAGCAAGCAGCCTATCGTGCACAGGTGCTGAGCAAAAAGCCTAACTATCCCCATTAATGTGAACTCACCAGATTCTGGTAATGTTGCAAGTGGTTGTTTATCATCAGATTTCAAATTCTCTGATTTCTCAGCAGTCTCATAACATGAGGCCAAACACCAATCTGAATCAAAATAGAAAGTTTGATATTTTGGAATGTAATAGTACTACAACCATAACTAATGTACAAACCCATTCCTCAGAAGCAGTCTCCCGTGTTTCTCTGCTCCACAGTACAATAATGCCTCAGGCTTACTGTGCTACACAGCTTCTGTGCTTGCCAATCACTCAGCGGAGTTTCATTATCACCACCATTTCTCATTCTTCTGTTTTCACTTACTTGAAGTATTATGATTTACCCAGCAATCTCTTTTACATACATTAATTTCTAGGACAGTTGATTTAATTCTTTAGGGAAACAAATTTCATTTCACTGCTATGAGATGTCAAATGTGTAAATAATGAGCAAATTGCATAAAACAGAGTGTGAATTAGGGAGAAACTGTTTCAAGGACAGTGGAACTAGGGAAGGGGCGGGCCAATGGAAAGAGAAAAAGGATCCATTTCTTAAAAGAAATGAATCAGACATACACGTATCAATATCATATTGTTTTTCTAGAGGGAGAAACTCAAAATTGTAAATCAGCACTAAACTGTGCAAGGATACTGGAAAATATTCAAATAGGAAGGGGAACAGGGTGCTGCGTGAGAGGGAGAGGAAATAAAGAAAAAGGAAAAGAACAGACAGTGCTGGGGATTTAGCTCAACAGCAAAAGTGCCTGCTCTGCAAATGTAAGGCCATGAGTTCAATCCCTGGTGCCCGCACTCCCCCAAAAAAACGGACAGGAGAAAATAGAGACAAGGCTTTTGTAAATAAGCAGGTTAAGGTGATCACTTGAAGGGAGAGGGAGGGACTGGGGATAAAGCAATCAAGAAATATCTTATACAGTAGAAGCTTACTCTAATGAATGTTATCCTTATGGATATCTAAAATGCACCAGTATAATCAAATGGAAAAACAAAAATGAAAATTGTCTATTGTACTATAAACACACACAATATTGTTTCCAAGACTCAAAGACATGGATGTTAATCAATATATTACTTTAAATTCTGAAAACTACAATGACATACATACTTCCATGTGCCATTGCTGTTACATAGAATTCACTTTATAAATTTTGATAACATCACAAATTCATAAGAAAAGTGCCGGCTCTCCGGGACCTTATTGTGCCCATGTACGAACTAGTTTAGTCCAGGTCACTCGTAGTGAACCTTTGGCACATGCTCCACAGTGGGCTCTTTGCTATCACTGAAAGCCCTAGAAGGCTCACTGTCTCCAACCAAGACACACATTAGTCCCAGCGAATGGCTGGAGACAAGAAAGGAAAGCACAATGACACAATGCCGTTTTTCTTTATAAACAAAATTGTCACACTTATAAAATTAAAGACAACTGAAAGAAAACAGGAGATAGAGAGTTTAAATGGCAGTTCGCTGTGAAGAAGCTCTTTGTCACTTGGCGTTCATGGACAATACTTATTGTTGAAATGGTGGTTTAACAGTGAATTAGAATCCCTGAAGCTCAAGGTTCTAAGAGGACAAATAATTCCAAAGGTTAAGTGCAATTCCACACTCATTCCCTATCTTGATGGGGCCTAGCAGACTGACTGGAGTTTTCAGAAATGTAACGTCTCATCTGTCATAGTTCCAATGATTCACGAATCACAGCTCTAATGGATATTGGCATATGTGACTGCATGCTGGTATCTTACAGCTTTTTGTTCTTGTTGTTTGTTTCTTTGTTTTAGTACTGGGGATCAAACTCACGAGCTGCATTAGCCAGGCCGACACTTCTGTTGCTGAGTTAAATCTCCCGCCCCACTATTCTCCATCTTTCAGATTTAGTCTCTACTAGAGTGTCAATAGATTCAACATACTTTAATAAGAAACCTCTGTAGATTATGTAAGATCTTTTACGACTCTAAAAGGAATTCCAGCTAAAGTTTGAGAATCTTTGTTGTGAAGAATTGTATCGAACAGTCACTAAGAATGATTACGTCTGCACACTTAATAATCAAATGTATGAGACACCATATATACACACTCACACAGTCTGCTTTCGAGAAAATCTATCTGCTTGCAATCATGAATATACCAAGGCTGAGATGAAATAAAGTGGACACACAGTGGGCATATTACTAAGGAGAGCTTTACTCTAGACAAACATCAGAATCACTGTAAGCATATTTGCTAGCGGTAGTGAACTAAATCATGGGTATCAGTGAGCCACTTGCCACTATCGCCTGAGTAACCGGGACTCTGGGATGCCCAGAGGAGCCAGCTCTCTGGGAAGCACCCACACACTTTGAAAAGATCGTGGAATTTTATAGTAAGTTTTGTGGATCCCTGTGAAGTATAAGGATCCAAGCTGAAAACATTGGATATTAAAACATACGTAAACAATTCATTAAATATTATTTTCTCTTGAGCTTATTAGCACCTTATTTGCAAATATGCACACCAATAATTACACCGGCAGTATTTATGGCAAAGCCTTGCCAACATTTGGAGACAAAATGGAGATGACTGCAGGCATATCAAACAATTTAGGGTACTGTACTTCATTACAGAGGAATCTGTATTGTGACATGTACCTGGTTGAGGTGGCAGTGCATCCTTCACTCTTACTGCTTTCTTCCCATCAGAATCTTTTGTTTCCACAGCAGGCTGAATGGGATTTAAAGTAAAGTGATTACTACACACTGCATACCTCCTAAAATAGGCAGTTCGTTCAAAATACAAATATACAGTCCTTACCTTCAAGGGAAGATGTGTGTCAGGTGATTCTAAAGAGGAAAAAGGGAAAATAAACTTTAGACAGCAATATGAGAAAACCAAGCATACATTCATGAAGACTTAGGACACAGCCGAATCTTCATGCTATGCTTGGGAAATGATTACCTCAGGTTTCAGCTCCTTTCCGACTGGTGAGAACAATATGACAGAAAAATTAGAACACAGGTCAAACATGATTTCCAATGTGCCACCATACTGCCAAAGATCATAACTAAAATAGGAAGTGAGCATATTCCAATCTGTACATGTGAACTGCTGCAAAACAGTGATCTTGGGATGTCATGATCCTGAGGGGCTGACTATCAAAGCTGACAGGAGAAGGGAACAGCATATAAACTGAACAAAGCACATCATCCATTGGTACACCGTTGCATACATGTAGGTGCTCTCGAGATGTCCACCACGGCAGAGTGCACAAATGGTGTGTTCCTAATATTGTTATTTTAAAAGGTGAGATTGTGCTCCGCTATCCATGGTGCCCTTCAATTTCTGGACATGAACGATCCCTCTGCCTCAAGTTTTCAAATAGCTTGAACTCAAAGGATATGCACAACACCTGGCAACATTTTCATGTATTTCTTTTAAATATCAGTACTCTGTACACAACCATTTTGTGTGAAAGTTGGGGACATGTCTAAGGAGAAGCTGCCCAGTAAATTCTCAGTGATTTCCACTGATCCAGTGAGAATCAATCCATACAAACTGAAAGAAATTGTAAGAAATCATTAATATGTGGTTTTGGAAGCATCTTTGGGGATATGTCCTGCACATAGTGACAAACACATAATTCTTGTGAATTCAGAGCAATTAGCACTAAAAGAAAGAAGTTGCATCTGAGTAGCAATCTGTAGATCTCTCCCTAGTCTTTCTTTCCACCCAGAAGCTCTAAGTCTATTGACACTCTCTCTCAAATGTATGCTAAACACTCGCCTAAATAAAATTAGTCTTCCTTCTGATCTTCTTCATAATTTTTACCATGCTTTGGTAAGACAAAGACCATGACTGCCTTGTGGATAGACACTGTTTGGTTGGCAGCTGCATTGGAGGTGTACAACACAGAGCAGATTCTACCACCAAAAGATTTCTGAAAAAGCATAATTACTATAGTAGAAAACCACGCACAGGTGCTACAAGTTGAATTAACTCTGCTACTTTATTACTTCCCTTATGCTGTTTTCTGGTTGGCATGAATCATGCAACAAGGTGAGTACGACTGCCCAACAGAAACACAGCTCCAATACTCATCAGTATTTACCCATTGTGGTTGACTCACTAGATTCCAGGAAGAGGGATAGAATCTGCATCACTGAGGGTGTTGCAAGGGGACATATATCAACAAACTTCAAATTCTATGATCTCTCAAAAGTCTTATTAGTCTGATGCAAACTCAAGTGGGAATCTAAATATAAAGTTTGATTTATGAGGATACAACGATACTACGCAGATATCGATTGTACAAATCCATTCCTCAGAAGCAGTCTCCTGTGTTTCTCTGCCCCACAGTACAATAATGCCTCAGCCTTACTGTGCTCCATAGCATCTGTGCTGGCCACTCACTCAGCTGACTTTCATTCGCACCATCATCTCTCATTCTTCTGTTTTAACTTAATAGTATTATCCCGATTTACCTTTAATTTCCAGGACTATCGATTGTTAAGTCTTTAGGACTGTGAATTTTATTTCATTGTTATTAGATATCAAATGTGTAAATAAAGAGCAAATAGTGAAAAAGGTATTGTGAAGCAGGGCAAAATTGTTTAAAGGAGAGGGGAACTAAAGAAGGGGCAAAGCCAATGGAAAGAAAGGGGGGAAAGACTGCATTTCTTAAATAAAATGAATCTAACACACACATTTCAACATCGTACTGTTTTTCTAGTGAAAGAAACTGAAAAGTGTAAATGAGAACAAAACTGTACAAAGACACTGGAAAATATTCCAATAGGAATGGGAACAGGGTGGGAGGGTAAGAGGGAGAAGAAGTAAAGGAAAAGGAAAAGAAAAAAACAACAGAGAGAACAAAATAGAAAAAAAGCTTTTGTAAATAAACAGGGTAAGGGGAGACCTTTAAGGGAGAAGAGATTGGAGAAAAAAGAATCAAGAAGTATCATATAGAGGCAGAATCTCCCTCTAATGAAGGGGATCCTTATGGGTATCTAAAATGTACCAATACAATGAATTTGATGCAATAAATTTAAATTTTCTGTTTTACTATAAACACACACAACGTTCGCCATTGGTTAGAACAATATGACAGAAAAACTAGAATATACATCAACCATGATTTCCAATGTGACATTATACTTGCAAGGACCATAACTAAAACAGGAAGTGAGCTTTACATGCTGACTGCTGAGAAAAAGTAATCTTAGCAAGTCATGACCCTGAGAGGCTGAGTGTCAGAGCTGACAGGAGAGGGGAATAGCATATAAATCGAACATAGTACATCACCCATTTGTACACCATTGCACTCCAAGTATCTGTGGTTTTGCATTTCTCCTGCACTGCAACTGGTACATAAGTTTGGTCATCATCAAGAGGAATTTAAACTTTGTATTCTCACAAAACAGTTAGCCATACATGTTCAGCATAATAATTAATAAACCCAGTCATGTTTTCTATGTCCTTGTGGGCCATGGCTATGCCTACATTTCTTGTATCCTCAAAACTAGTTTGGCCACATCTTGAAATTTGTTGAATCCCTCATGAATGGAACATAAACCATATCTGAGACATAATGCTACATCAGTTTTCAACATTGAAATAGTTATCAAAATGCAAAAAGCTGAATAGTCAGGGAATTGTTAGATACTAGGAAACTTTTACATTTAAAATCAGCACAATATTTACTAACAGGTAACAATTTTGGCCTTCAAGGAATGAACTGAACAATGTCTCTTGGTTCATTTTTAAAGGATTTGTGTGGAAAAGCTATTTTATCAAAACTTACTTATCTTAAAAGGAGTCAGTGCTTCTATGTGCAAGCTAATCTCACGTGAACAATGATCAATTTCACAGAAAGCTCTGATGCCTGATGACTAGGCGGGAAAGGAGGGAAGTACCTGCAGTGTAAGCCAAGGCTAGCACTCCTCCCTGCTCTGAATCATCCCTGAACAGCCACAGTCTACTCTGTCACTTGCAAACACATACTCGAAAGCTGTGGGGAGGCAGTCCTCTCAGTTTGCATCATTCATTCCAAAGTTACTGTCTAGCTTTGTTCTTCCCTATCCTCCTCCCCTAATAAGTCCCTGTTCCCTTCCAAACTGACCTAGTTCTATGGTCTTGAGTGTTTCCATTTACGGCTTTTTGCGGATTATTCCTACCACTACTTTCTTTAGTTGGCAGAAATGGCAGTAATATCTTAGAATTACAACTTCTATTTCTTCTCTGTTCATTGCTTTACTCTCTCCCCTGTGACTAGAACTATTTTCAGAAATACAAACAGGAAAACAGGCACGAAATGGTTCTCCCTTGACCTTGTTATGTCTTGAACTAGTTCTTATCCAATGACTCTCGTCCAGATTTCTCTACAGGGAACTTGATACTGGCCCATCTTCAGTGGTCTGAGGATGAGTGACATGAGCATCCCTGGAGACCTTCTTAGAAACACACCACCTTAGTCCTGCTGACTCAGATGTGTGGTGTAACATGTTCCCCCACAGGGGCTTCATTTCATAACTAAAGCTCCAGGCCACAAACCTAATCGCTTCCAAATCCACTTCCCTTCCCTTCCTTCCATTTTTGGAATCTAGCACCAACTTCCTCCTCATCCTGTCAACTAAATTGAAAATGCATAACAGGCCATCCCCGTTCTAATGGACTTTTAACTGAGACTATGGCTTTCCTGAACTCAATGACTAATCATTCCTTTCTTTCTAGTTTTTGACTGTCGCATTCTGGATGTACTACTTGCTGAAATAGCAACGTTTTTAAGTGGTAAACTTTTAAATGGAACTCTGCAACCAGCATCGCGGGAAGAAGTAAGAGCGTGAACCAAGGTACCAGTGAAACTACACGTACAGCGAACAATGCTCGTTTACTTTGATCTGTAGTAAATGAAGTAGAGCTCTGTGTAATTCACTACTTCAATCCTCAATACCTTTCCAATCGTGAGAAGACGGGGAAAGACGAAAACTTCTGCCCAACCTCTCTGCAAGTTTTGTTACTCGGTGCTCAATTGATATAATTCCTATAATTCTTCCTAATGGCTCTTCCTTTTTCTAAATGATTACGTCATTTTCCCACACCCATACTTTCTCTTGCCTTTGCCTACTCCCTGTATTGTGGCTCTCTCTTTTCCCTCACTCCCTCCTCTCCTCTTAATTTTCTAACATCCCTCAGACATTAGAATGCCTTGAAACGGAGCTAAGAAGGTAGCTCCTTCAGTGACTCTCAAATTTGCCTGTGGCTGATATGTCAGGGTACATGAAACTTATTGCTGTGTTACTTCTCTTTTTTCTTACTTTGTCATTAATAAGTAGTTTTGGGGGATTCAGAACTCAGCCATGCTCCACTGTGAAATAAACATGCTGTCAAATGACTTTCTTAAAATATCACACATTTATACATATTTCTTACCTTTTCTTTTTCTATTTCCTGCCTGTTTTCCTCCATCATCTGCTTTCCCAGAAAAAGGATCGACAGGCTTCTGTGGAAAATTCACAGAGATACTCTGAGAAAATTCATATAGCAGTAATGAGTTGCACAACCATTACCTACTCATTTCCCAAGAACTTATCTGAGTTTTACCATCTTAAGGCACGCAGGTTTAATAATGGGAATCACGTACTGAGGACCAAAATGTCTCCAATGAGAGCCTTATGAGAAGCCCAGCTTCGGTCTCCACATGGGTGCTGACTTTGTAAAGCAGGCATGGAAAGCCACAGGAGGGATTCAGAGACAAAATTCCAGCTGATAAACATATTTCATCCTAACGTCGGAGGAGACAAAGTGCTCTGCACTCTCCAACGAATGGAACATTGAAACACACAGATTTAAATGAAGAAGTTTTTATGAGAGTATGTTTGTGATATACAACAATTACATTTGTTTTGGGGAACTGCTACATTCGTTATCATTTCTTCATTGCCTTGGTTCCCTTTACACCCTAACATCACTTTCCCTTCCCTGAATAAACAAATTCTTATAAATATACTTGTTACCATTCACCACTAAGCATTTCTAATCACAAAAGCCACGTCACTGTTAAAATAATTGGCCAGCTAAGAAGCTTCAGAGAGCCACGCTGAGTACAAAGAACATCGCAGGCACTGCTCCACTTGTGTAAACAAGGGCTTAGAAGAAAAACAATTATGAGTAAAACTTTTACTGCTTGAAAAGATGTTTGAAACTTAAAATATACTAATAACTTCATGTTATATTCAAGTAAGAGCACACAAATATTGGACACTATATACAACTATTTCCCAATTAAGGGAGAACTTTTTAAAAGTATAAAAAGAGCTGCAGCATAAAACCTTTTTTAATTTATTAAGTGCCCAAAACTTGCTCATACTGATTTGCATGTTTTCTTTTCTGTCTGTTGCAAAACTGTAAATAACTGTGATGAAAGTTGATGCACTTCCTGCTTTCAGGTCACTGTAGGGTGCTACAATGATAGCCAGACATGGCTCATGGCTCCCTGCTCTCTGCCCACAGTGTCCTCGAGACTTTACTGGGTTGGCTCTTTCTCACTCTTAAATTAGCAGCACTTCACGCTCATTCCCATCCTTACCTCAAACTCCCTTGGAATTCTCTAACCTATGCAGGCCTGGCAGTGCACACCTGTAATTCCAAACTTCTGGAGGTTTGAGACATCAGAAGCACTAGTTCAAGCCCAGTCTGGAGAATGTGGTGACTTAGAAAGACCCTTATCTCAAGTATTAAAAGGCCTGGCGAGCTAGTGCCAGGTGAAGGCCACAGGATGGATTCAAAGTAATGAAACAAACAGTGCTCTTGTTTGTCTGAATACTCTATCATGATAGCACAAGTCCTCATCTGATGTATTTAGTGTCCCACTACCTAGTGCACAGTGGGTACAGAATAACAGAGATTTATTCAAGTTCACATTTAAAGCCTCCTCAGGGAAACCTCAAGCACCAAGCTACTCTCTTCCTATATGCTGATTCCATCAACAGTTTACCAACAGTGTTACCATTTACAAAGTAGCAATCTATATGCCCCTCTCAACTTTCTTATTGTCTTCTTCACACTATTGTTTTGTTGTTCTCAGGTTTAGGAAAAAATCTTCAATATTTATTTAGGTACTGCAAACCAACTAGAACTTTGTATAATTTTCAAAGTATTTTTACAATTTTTATCACATTTGTCCATATATATAGCTAAAAAGCAGATCATGTGTTATCTTCATGGTATAATAAGTCACAAAATCCAAATACATTAAATGATTTTTCCAAAACCAGCAGTCACTAACTGACAAAACCAGAATACTAACTGGTTTTGTGCTTCCACCACTACCCTGGTACCACAATGCAGGAGCTGCTTGGACCGAACACATTAGGCCTTTTCCTAAGTGCTCACTCTAAAACAATTTGTCAATATTTACATCTTTATCACTACAAGCATGACTGCCATAGAGACACTCAATGCATCCACATTCAACTTTGGGTTCTGTTTTTTGAAATAATGTAAAATGGATCTGTGATTATAAAGCCCTGTATTTATATCTTGAGTCCTTTCTTCTTTTGAATTATGTCATGCAGATTGACACTAAGCAACCAAAATAGATTAACAATTGTGATTCTCACTCATTATTTTGTCAAGTTAAAACCTCTAAAAATTATATCCAAACATTTTGTCTGAATCTCAGCAGAATTTTCAGCCATTGGCCAGAGGCTGAGCAGGGAAAATTCTTCAGTTTTTGTTCAACTTAATTCCAGAATCTAAGCCGATTGCTTATGAAATCTAGCTCCTAGTTTTTGACTGCACTGGCTTCCTTGAATGAATCTTACACAGGTAGCAAAGGTGTGCTTAGCACTCCATCCATTTATTCCTTCACCTGCAGTACAAGGGATTCAACACAAGGTATTTGTATTGAGCTAGGAACCCTGTGTTTTTAACTTTTTGAGACAGATTCTTATTAATCAGCTAAGCTGGTCACAAAATTAGGAACTGTGGTTGAAAACTAAGCAAATGATTTCTTACAGGTATATGAAGACATGAGAAAGTACAGACAAATTGTCCCATTTATATTAAAACCTCAACCAATACTTATTTCAAACATAATTACAAATGATAGGCAGTACCTCAGAATCCCAAGGCAATTCACCAGCTTTCTGTACTCCTGGTGCAAACACCGTATCTATAAAATGTAGTCAGAGACACATTAGTGAGAATATTCACTGCTGTAAAATTTGCTTATAGATACAAATATATCTACATTCATGAAGATTTCAATGAGATATGAGTCAATGTGAAAAGAATTTCAGAAGTTTGAATCAGTTTCCAAAACCTGTTGGTAGAAGGAAATTAAGACAAGTAAAATTTTAAAAGAAATGAATATCATTTTTTAGATCTACACACATTTGAAAATAATAGCATATAATCAAAAACAACTTTCACAGTCACTAATTTACCAGTTTGATGAGTTTTCTTCTCCTCATCCACATTAGTCACATTGTTAACTGATTTCTCATCCAGTGCTTTTACAACAAAAGGCTTACCCTTTTTCCGCGCTGTAACTTTTGACATTTCTGCTTGTTTCTATTGAAGAAAAGAAAAAAACAGTATTACAAAGCAGGCAATTGCCCAGCCACCCACTCAGTGTAATGGAAACACAATGGAAACAATCACCGAAAAAATCTATCAAATCACACGGATTACTCTGCAAAAAGCTGAAAGCACATTCTGCTTGCATGGAAGCAGACGCAGATACATGAAAACAGTGAAATGCATTTCATTCATTCTACAAATGGGGTCCAAAGACAGGCTTCTAAAGCAAATACGATCAGTTCTATCTGGAAAGCTCAGGAAAAGCCATTTCTTGTGAACAGGTGAGAAAGCACCAAGGAAGGGTGTCAAGGGCATTCAAGAAAGGACACCAGAAACAAAAGGATGGGGCATGAAACAATACACAAAAGAGGGCTGCCCAAGGGATGTGACACAGCTGGAATACAGTTCCTGGAAGGGCACAGACAGGTGAACAGGAGCATCACACTAATTTCAGGCTGGAATGGGAACTTCCCTTGTGAAATGCAAATCTGTACATTCTCTGATATTGTAAGATCGATGCCAGAGAATAATGGGAAGCACAGCATCAAAGAATATTGTTTTTAAATGATGAGTGAGAAAATGAGTCCAGAAATGAAAAATAGTTCTCAGAATGTAGGAAGTAAGCAAATTTGATAGTCACCAGAAGGGTAGCTGGGGCCAGGAATTCTCAGCTTCAGAGATCTGGTGCCATCCAATATCATCACAGAAAGACCACAGTCAAGGCCTGCAGGAAATACATCTAACTGGAGGCCTGGGATGGAGGAGACACATTTGGAGGAGGGGAGATGATGACCTCACTCAGGAAATGATATTGGCTCAAAAGGTAAGTAACTTTTTGTAGAATACAGAAAACGGAGGCAGTAATGCTAATCTATGCACAGTTCTGAAATTCATCAGATGAAATCATGAGGGGGGAATTACAGGAGATGCCATTTTTCAATTATATACATTAACATTTGTGTTGAAGCTATAAACAAACTTTAACTGATATATGCAAATACTAACTTCTGAGACAGTACGCAAATGTGAATTTTAAAATTTAATCATAAGATTTAATACCAAGATACCCATTGAAGATTTTGAAAAAAATTCCTGTTCAAAGAAAAATCTTCCAGGATTTAATGAAATCCAGGCCTGCTGATGTGCACCTGTGGTCTGTGCTTATAGGGCAGCTCAGGCGGGATGGTCCCTGAAGCCAGGAGTCAGAAATCCAACTGGTGAATATAACCAGGTCCATTCTCATAAAGGGAAACATATTATAAATTGTAGAAGAGAAATGGTGATGATTTACCGAAAGAGGTATTTTTAAATGCTACTACAACGTGAGGGAGAAATGTAAGGCCTTATTTGAAAATTCCTATTCCCCCAATAAATGGCATATGCCAATACTTCTAGTTTTCTACATGCAATGACAGTTACAAATGGAAGAAAAGTTGTGTGCTATTTACCACTACCTGAGAACTGAAGCATTTCCGGTAGAGAGAAAGGAAACACAATAATTTCCCAATTTTCCATTCAGAGAAATGACTGCTAATTAGGATTCTACAGAAAAATTACACTTTGAAAAGGTGCACCGAATAAACATGGAGCTGACTAAAACAAAAGCATAAGAAATTTTAAGATGACATTTTAACCTATGTTCAGAGTTAAAGGATACTAGAATGTACTGTGTCTTTCATACCTATTCATTCCTCAGATTTGTTTTCTTACTTGACATGACATTAAACATAAGTCACCTGAAAATATATATCTTAAGCACAGTATACATTTTATGGCATATTTTTAGAAACTGAATGCACTTATTTATTACATAAATTATGCACACATTACTTGAAAAATTCTACTAGGTAGAAATCCATTTATTGGCATTCAACTGGTATTAAAATGCTTCTTAATACCAAACACCTCACTGCAGGTCTTCAGAATTCACACAAAAATCTTTCTAATCTCCAGAATCTCATTGTACTGCGGAGTTTTAAATGAATTTTTGGAAGTACAAAAACTTGTGAAACTTGAAATGTCAGAATCAGATACAGAGACTACCACTGTATATTTTTAAAGCTATAAAGCTTACAATTACTTACATCATTACCACTTGCTTTTGTAGACCATCTAGTTCTACTACTGCTTATTATTTTGAAAACAGGTAGTCTTCTATAAGATAAAATGTTTTAAAAGTGGTATCCCCTTTATGGAGGAATCACATAGAAAACACAGTGCAGGAAGGTGTAGTATACATTCAATCCAGCACTGGAGGTGAGGCTAAACATCCCAAATTCCAGACCGGACTCAAAAACAAATTCAATTAACTAAAAAAAGAGGGCAAGGGATACAGCTTCCTGCACAGGCCCTGTGATCACCTTCCAGAAACAAAAAAACAAAACAATAACAATGAAGATCCTGTAATTCCGTAGTCATACATCCCTGATGAAACACATTTTAAATTTCTAAGTTGTCACAGTTTCCGGTATTATTCTAGTCTAACAACAGAACCAATAACAGAAACAGAAGAGCTCTCATAAAAACTGATGATAGCAAAATAAAGATTACTTAAAGGAAAAATTGTTTTATACACGGTAAGTTGTTCAAATGAAGGCACCAAACTTCCCTGATTATTGTAGGACTAATAAGATCCATAAAAGATTTATATAGGTATGAGTGCTATGAAGGTCTTGGTAGTAAGATTTTCAAGCCATGGCAAGATCCACTTATCCAAATGATCCTTGACCAAATTTTGTATTTCCGTCATCATGGCAAAGGTTTGACAGATACAATTTTCCTGTCACTGTGTGTTTTCTAACCCATTATTATTTTCAGTCTCAAATACTTCAAAATATGTACCAGTTATTTACCAAAGGGGTGGAAATTCTTTTTAACTAGGCATAGTTCTCCAAAGTGATCTTCCCTGATCAATGTTCCATATAAATTTATGGTAGCTACACCACTGTTAAATTTGAAGACTAAGTGCAATACAATGCAAAACTAAGAAAAACAAAATTAACTTTACAAAAGAGACTTACCTTGTTATCCAGAGGGAAAGCAGTGTCACCTGATGTAGCCTGGTAATTAACAGGACTGGGTTTGCTGCAAGAGCTGGGGAGCAAAAACACACAACAACAGTGGATCAATTTTGTCCTTAAAACCTGGTGAAAGCTTGGCTATCTGTATATCAAATGACAGTTGGAAGAGATCAAAAATGGCAGATAGATAACAGCTGACTACAGAGTCTCCCTGAGATACTCAATTTAAAATTCAACATAATAGAATGTGGGGAGTCCCAAACAGAGGGAGATGAATTCTCTCACCCTAAGAAGCAACTAAGATGAGAAGAACCAATCAAACATACAGTCCAGTGTTACTATTGGAACAGCTATAGGTTCAGTGCTCCCGGCAGTGCCCAACCACACGGCAGCTATTTGCTGAGCAGTCCCAGGTCCCACTGCATCAACTCACAGGAGGCGCAGTCACACTGTGGTTGAGGGTCGGCAAACCGAATGGCGAGCTAAGCTGGAAGGGAGCCTGCATTAACCTGTGGTGAGTGACAGGAGTGGAGCCATTCCACAGAAAAGGGGGCTCCAGTGGACAACATTCTGGGACCGGGCAGGACTGGCAAGTACAAAGGGCAGCAGTGACTTCAACCAGTTGTTCCCTTCCCCAACGGGATTAGTGGAGTGAGCTTGGCTTGGGTCACATGACCGGGCTGAGAACCAATAGGTTATCCAAAATCAATTAACTGTGGTGGCAGCGCACGGTAACGCAGTGAAGTCAGAAGTTTCACTGACCCAGCAGGGAGGTAGCACACAGTAATACAGTGGAGGACTCAGCAGCTTGACTGATTTGAGGGGAGGGGCCAGCATACCCTGCCCCTGTTTGCAACTCACTAGCACACTGCAGTGGATCACCTAGCCAGTGTGCTTCAGAAGGATTGTAACCAAGAAAGAAAGAAACTGGGGCCTCCTGGAAGAAACAAAAAAGATGGGAACACGAAGCAACAAGAAAACGCCTCCAGGGTTCCCAGGTCCCAACCCTGAGAACAATGACCCAGGACAGGTACATACAAAGAAGAATGAGGACAGCAAACATGCAATATCAGACACAGCACCAGTGGACATAAAGAGATGTCTCCGGGACCTCATAGATGAGTTGAAAAGTGAAATATTTAGCCAAGTAAAGCAAAATATAAGAAGATTAATAATAGAGAGGCTAAGCACCCCTCAAGCAGACACAGACAGAAGCAGGGAGGAACTCGAACAAAGGAGAGAAACACTTGATGAAGAATATAAAGCAAATATAGAATACATGAAGCAGATTCAAAGAGATTACCAGGAAATTAAAACCTCTATGGAAAGACGGCAAAACTGCTTGAAAGAAACTATGGATAGATTATCCAAACTGGAGGACAGGTTTGCAATGTGGGATTATGAAAGGGAAAACATTTTTAAAATAACAAAGAAACAACCAATAACAAATACAAGCCTAGAAGATGACAAGAGGATCAACAACTTGAGAATAAGGAATGTGAATGAAGAAGCAGGCCTACAAAGGAACTACAAAGGCTATTCACAGAAACAATTAAGGAAAACTTTCCAAACAAAGGAAAAGGATATTCAGATGTATGAGGCATACAGAACTCCAGCCACCTGCAACCAAAACAGAGCTACATCCAGGCATATAATAATCAAGATCCCAGAAATTCAATATAAGAACAGAATATTAAATCCTATTAGAGACAAGAAACAGATCACTTATAAAGGAAGGCCCATCAGAATAACGGCAGACTTCTCAACACAAACCATCAAGTCAAGAAGGCCTGGAGCGAAATATTACAACCCCTGAAAGAAAATAACCTTCAACCCAGATTGATATACCCTGCTAAACTCTCTCTAGAAATTAATGGAGAAACAAGATGCTTCCAAGACAAAGAGGAAATTGGGAAGTTCGCAACCACCAATCCAACTCTACAGAGAATATTGCAGGGCATTCTAGGGAGAGAGAGAAAAGCACTAGGGTTTCAGAAACACTGGCAGACAAGCTTCAAAGAATGGAGCAGAAACAGAATGAAGAAGATAAGCAGACAATTGATGGCAAAAAAGAGCATAACAGAAATGAGGCAGAGAAGGTTGGCTATAATCTCTAATATAGATGGCCTTGATACACTAAATTTTAAAAAAAGAACCATAGGTGGAGTAGATCAGGAGGCAGGGTCCACCGAGATGCTATTTATAGGAAATATAATTAACATGAAAAAAAGAGTACATAGACTGAAAATCAAGTATGAGGAAACAATGCTCTACGTGAAAGAGAACCAGAGAGTAATAGGGGCAACTAGATCAGTATTTGTGGATAGGCTGGAAAGACAGGCTTTAATAGGCAAAGGAATACAATTAGAGATCAAGTCCAGGGGACCGAAGGTTCGGAACCACTTAGGTAAATAGCAGGTTGCCCCCACCCCCAATTTAAAACCAAGGATCTTGGTCAGACCCAAAAATGCACAGTGTACCCTGGAGAAGTGAAAAAGGAGGGAGAGTCTTAAAGATGGCAGAAGATACTGTTAATAGTGTATCAGGATTTAAAACCCACATTACTCGCACCACTCTGCTTAAGATACATTTTATTCTTTTTATTTTTTTTGATAGATTTTATTCTGTCCCAGTTTGTCTACTTGCATTAGATTTGAGGGCACAGACAGCTATCCCAAAAACATCAGGATATAGCACAGTAATCATCTTTAATTTCCTATTATCTTAATCTGGAGCCCTGTATGACTTCCACTGTTTTATCATGACTCATCTTAGTTGTATCTGGTCTGTTTCATTGCTGTTTGGTATCAACACATTTTATTCAAAACTGATACGATTGATAGTATCAAGTCTGAGAGTATAGGCAACTACACTGAAGATGACAAGACTCTACAATACACATTCTGGTTTGATAACTGCCTGCTTTTGAAGTTTTATACTATATACAAAGTTGTGTCTTTATTAATACTGTTATGTACAGATACATTCAATTATACTATGTCTGATGACATAGCTAATTCTATTGAAGATAACAAGAGACAAAACAGGAACTATGGTAGAACTCCTTGTAAAACAGCCTTATATGTCTTTTTTGTTTCATGTGTTTATAGGAATATGTTTTGTTTTGTCTTGCTTTGTTTTGTTTCTCCCTCTAATACAGAAAGGATAGAAGTACATGTTAAGATTCATGCATGTGTAGAATCTATAAACAGTTTACGAGAACTGATCTTATGACACATGATGAAATGAACAAATACTTTGAAGAAAAAGAGTCACTCAAGTACCCAGTGCTGATCCTGGACTGTCATAATGTGACACTCAGCAATAGTACTAATCTTTGTTCAGAGTGATATTAGCCTGCTTGGGTTTGCTCAATCTCAAAATAATTGAAGATATGGATAACTACATGTATGTGTAAATGTATAGGATAACCATATTTCTAAGTTTTTGTTGGATAGCTGAACAGAACTGGTTACAGCCTCACTGTTTGAATCCCCACTTTATATGCTCCACTTTAGTATCTTGAACAACTATTTGTAAGAGGAAAATATGTAATCATCAACTAGTGATTTCTTACTGTATTTTTTCTTTGAAAGTATGTATTATTTCTACCTGTTTTGTTTTGTTTAGTCTTTCTTTACATAAAATTTTTAAAGAAGACACTACAGTACCCAGTGCTGATCCCAGAGTGTCATGATGTGAAATCCAGCAATACTATTATGCTTTGTTCAGAATGATTTAGCCTGCTTTACTTTGTTTAATCTCAGCCTAACTGAAGATATGGATAACTGCATGTATCTTTAAGTGTACAGGATTGATAACCATATTACTAACTTTTTGTTGGGTAGTTGAACAGAACTGTTTGCAATCTCGCTGTGTGAATTCCCATTTTATATGTTCCACTTTTGTTTTTTTTTTTTTTTTTTGGTTTTTTTTTTTTTTTTTTTTTTTTGTCTTTTTCGTTTTTATCGGTACCAGGGATCGAACTCACAACCGCCTGCTTGCAAGGCAGGTGCTTATGCCGCTGAGCTAAATCCCCAGCCCCTGTTCCACTTTTGTATCTTGAACAACTATTTGTAAAAGTACAGTATGTAAACATTAACTAGTGAGTTCTTACTTTGTTTTTCTCTGAATGTATGTATTATTTCTACCCATTTTCTGTTTTGTTTAGTCTTTCTTCAAATAAAATTTAAAAAAAGAATCACAGCAGACTTTTCAGCACAAAATCTCAAGTCAAGAAAAGCTTGGAATGAGGTATTTTAAGCCTGAAAGTAAACAACTTTCTATCCAGACTGATGTACCTAGCAAAACTTTCATTCAAAAATAATGGAGAAACAAGATACTTCAATGACAAAGCAAAACTGAAGAAATTGGTGTCCACCAAGTCAACCCTAGATGGAATGTTGAAGACATACTAGATAAGAGATTAAAATTAACACAATCCCCAGAATAACAACAGAAAGAAACCACTAGGTAGGACATGCAATTAAACAAGAGGGAAAAGCAGAAATCAAAAAATTGGAACATAACATGGCAAAGTCAAGCCAGTATATATCAGTGATATCCATAAATGTAAACAGCTTGAATTCACATATCAAAAGAAGTAGGTTGACAGAATGGATCAAGAAACATGACCCCACAATATGCTGTATACAAGAAACACATCTGACCTTAAAGGAAACTCATAGATTAAAAGTCAAAGGATGGAAAACAGTATTCCATGAAACAGGAAGTCAGAAAAAAGCAGGGGTAACAGTTCTATTTGCAGACCATGTGAACTTCAAACCTAAAAAGATTAAAAGAGATACAGAACATCACTACATACTCATTACTGGAAAATTTCAAGAGTAAGAACTAACAATTGAAAATATATATGCACCAAATTCAGGAGCATCCAACTATATAAGACAGATATTAATGGACATGAAAAACCAAATACCCAAGAACACAATTCTAAGAGGGGACTTTAATAGCCCATTGCCACAAAGAGATAGATCAACTAGACAAAAAGTCAGTAAAACCATAATAATACAAAACTCACACTAGCACCTGCACAGGGAGAGTTTAAGATCA